CTGAAATCAATAAAGATAATTTTAAAAAAAAAAAAAAAAAAAAGGAGGCTGAGGCCCAGAGAAACTGAATGACTTGCCTAAAGTTACATTGCTAATTCAAAGTCAGAGTTGGATGCTTGCCCTGGTGGCCATTATTTTCATAAATGGATTTCTTTTTCATGTTAGGTTTTTATCGACACTATCCCAAATCTTATGTTCTTCTCCACAATGAAAAGACCATCCAGAGAAAAACAAGACAAAAAGATTTTTACGGAAGACATTGATATTTCTGACATTTCTGGGAAGCCAGGGCCTCCACCCATGGGCTTCCACTCGCCCCTGATCAAACACCCTGAGGTGAAAAGTGCCATTGAGGGCGTCAAGTACATCGCAGAGACCATGAAGTCAGACCAGGAGTCCAACAACGTAAGCTTCGTGCTTGAAAACCCACACCTCTGGGTTTAAATAATCAAGTGCTTGAGCGCAGATGGACGGGCTTGGCTTGATGGGCAGGTTGGGGTTTCAAAGGCAGCTACTGACCTAAGCTAAGCCTGGTGACTGCCTCTAGGCCACCTTAGTAAGTCATCATTGTGAATAATCTGTTCAAAAAATAAAGATCATAATGCCAGCCCACGGATGCTGAGGTCTCCTCCATCTACACATTAAATGGCTGTAGAAGATGCATAGCATGCATTGTGGGCCGAATGACCACCTTAGGAGATTCTGACACTTTCCTCTCTCCCAGGCGGCTGAGGAATGGAAGTATGTTGCCATGGTGATGGACCACATTCTCCTTGGAGTCTTCATGCTGGTCTGTATCATCGGAACCCTGGCTGTGTTTGCAGGTCGGCTCATTGAATTAAATCAGCAAGGGTGAGCCGAGCTCCGCCCAGCATCGGGCGGAGCAGAGAAAGGTGGGCAAACGGGAAGACTTGTCCCCTTGGATATAAGCTCACTTATCAAACATTTAACTTTCTGTATTTATGGTTAATGATAATAATTTACATTTACGTGAGGTTATGGCTTCAAAGTGTCTCCACATGGCTTCCCCCTTCATTCTCTGTCAGTCTGGAGAATGAACAGTTTTTAGTCAATGAAACAGGATCTCTAAAAGAAGTATCCATTCCCAGTGGTGTCTGGGAGAGTTTTGCCCAGAATAGCTGAGGTTTTTCTGTTGGTTTTTCTATTTTTATTTTTTAAGCCAGGTTTTTGCCTGCTAGGAAAACCCGATTTACCAGTCCCAGAAAGACAAAGCATTTGATTTGGAGAAAAAGAAGGCAGTAGAAAGGCTGCTAAAATGCAAATTGCACCAAACCCCCAAAATAAATGTCTAGAATTGGAAGGTGAGGGATGTTTGCCAGTCTAAGGCAGCACTTGGGTTTGATGCTCAGGATTTGTATTGGGTGGAAGGGCCAGGCATGAGGGAATCATCTCATATACATGATTTATTTCATCCTCATGGCTCTCATACAAATGAGAAAACTGAAGTTGAGGAGTGTTCTCATTGCCTAAATGAGAAGAACTGGGATTTGAACCCAGACCAAATCTGGGTTCCAAGCAGCTCCAGACTGGGTCAATTCTTCTGCTCCTTGCTCTCCTGACCATCCGTGGCTCGATCTGGACCCTTCTGTAACTCTGGTCAGTACCTTGAGATCTTCAGTGTTAGTGTCAACCATCTTTCTGCCTTCCCAATGAAACTTCCTGCCTTTTTCCAGTTCTTATTGCGTGGAGAATATTCTTTTTCTCCATAGTAACCTTCTAGCCACAGTGTAATTCACCCAGAACTAGAAAATGTGCAGCCCTGGCCTCGGATCACCAGAACACACCTGCCCCACATCAGTACCAGGGGAGAGCAGGAAAACGCCCTGCTGGGCCGCCTGACTGAACCCAGTTGGTCTCAGTCTGCTTCTCCATGGGGGTCCCTATCACATACCCATGGCAGGACTGAGTACATTCATTTTAGAGGAAACAGTTTGGTGGCTCCTCAAAAAACTAACCATAGAATTCTCATGTGAGCCAGCAATTCCACTCCCTAAAGAACTGAAAGCAGGGACTTGAACAGATACTTGTCTGCCCAGTGTTCACAGCAGCATTATTCACAAGAGCCAAAAGGTGGACACGACCCAGTGTCCCTCCGTGGATAAGCAAAATATGGTATATGCGTGCCATGGACTATTATTCTGCCTTAAAGAGCAATGAAATTCTGATACATGTTATAAGATTGGTCAACCATGAAAACATACTAAATGAAATACACCACACACAAAAGGACAAATATTGTATGATTCCACTCACATGAGGCACCTAGAATAGGAACATTCACTGAGATAGAAACTAGCATAGTGACTACCAGGGTTAGCGGAAAGGGTGAGTTACTACTTAACGGGGGGAGTTTCAGTTTGGGGTGATGAAAACGTTCTGGAAATGAGGCCAGGGTTGCATGGCCTCATCAGTGTACTTAATGCCGCTGAACGTATGCCGAGAGATGGTTAAAGTGATGAATTTTGTGTTATGAATATTTCACCACAATAAAAAGTGTTGTTATTTATTTATGTACTTATTATTTTTATTATTTTTATTTATTTTTTGGTTAATCCCCACCCAAGGATATTTTTCCCATTGCATTTTTAGAGCGAGTGGAAGGTGGTGGGAGAGAGACATCGATGTGCGAGAGGCACAAAGATTGGCTGCCCCCCCTATACCCACCCCAACTGGGCCAGGGACCCAACCTGCAACCCAGGTACATGCCCTTGACCAATTGAACCCGAAACCCTTGGGTGTGCGGGCTGACACTCTAACCACTGAACCACATGGGCCAGGGCAAAAGTGTTATGTTTTTACTTTTTAAATTTTTATTTTAAAAAAATATATCTTTATTGATTTCAGAGAGAGGAAGAGAGAGAGAGAGAAACGTCACTGGTGAGAGTCATTGATCGGCTGCCTCCTGCACGCCCCCTGCTGGGATCGAGCCCGCAACCCGGGCATGCGCCCCGACTGGGAATTGAACCGCCATCTCCTGGATTATAGGTCGATGCTCAACCGCTGAGCCACACCGGCTGGGCTTTTTAAATCACAACCTGCTTCTTGCTTATCCTTAAAATTGTTCCCTGGGTGAGAATTGGTTGAAAATGGGGCACTGATAGAGAAAATAGTTTCCCCTTGGAGGAATATTCCTATCACTCTCTCGGCAAACGTCTGTTCGGGGTCTAGCTCCCTCCTAGAACCAAGCCCCAACATGTTTCCCCTTAGAAAGCCAGCTTGGAAGAATAGACAGGGAAACTGTCCCACTCAAGTTTAAATTACTTTGGGGCAAGTGGTGTACCCACCACCCAGGGAGCCTGTAATGAGGGTAGAGCAGGGAGCAGAGTGAGGGTCTCCCTGTCTCTTCCCAGCCCCTGGGGCACCTCTTCCCCAAATCTTTCCCCACTTTCCATCAGCCACTGAAGGCCCTGCTAAGATGCTTTTAGTAGGAGTTAACTTTTTAGCTAGAAAAATAAACTTCTTAAACAATCTTTACTTTTTGAACATCAACTAAACATAGTGTTTTAAGCCTAGGTTTCCATTCTCTTTTCTATAGCCTTCTGCCACATGCCACTTATCACTTCATAGTATTTTCTTGTGTACCTGTCTGATTTGAACTCCCAACTTAGAATCTTCCCAAAGGACAAAGATTGGATTTTATTTGTTTATATTCTCAGGAATTAGGTAGGTGCTTAAAAATGTGTTGAAGAAATTAAGAGAGAAGTGAACAAATGGTTAGGCAACGCAAATTGTCCTGCGAGTCCCCTCGTTCTCTAATTAACATCCTGCCTTGGTACAGTGGTCAAATGCCGATGGCCTCAGCTGCGTCAATATGAGTTCCCTATACATCTCTGCCTGTTCATGTTTACAACCTGAGAATGTGCATAATTCTAGGAAAAGCAAGTCTGTGGGCACTTCGCACACATCTCTAAGGACAGCCACTCGCCCCGCAGCTGACCTGCATCGCTAGGACCTTCCCGCTGGTAAAGGCCCCTCTCGGAGGCCTGCACCGCTGGCTGCCCGTGGCCAGGCTCTTCGGTTTCCTTATCACATACCTTGGGCCTGATGACCTGTGATGTCTGCTTCACAGATTACTTTATGGATGTCAACCTCCTGTCTTCAATGAGATTGTCCCTACCTGAAAAAGGAAGTCGGGGTCTTGCTATCGGTACTTCCTGTGGGATCTTGGGCAAGTTACTCAACCCTTCTGAGTCTCAGAGTAAAAATGCTGATGGTGACATCTTCTCCAGGGCACTGGGAAAGTAGCCAACACTCTGCTGCTTAAATAAAACCCTCCGGGGCAAAGTTTATATCCTCAATTGCTTTATATTCTCCACCAAGCCCACGAGAGAGTTGAGTACCTATTGTGTCCACAAACATTTATTGAATTTTTCTCCATTCATTTTTTTTTTAAAGATATTCACAAACCATGAAATTCACCATTTGAAAGTGCACGATTCAGTGGTTGTTAATATATTCACGAGGCAGTGTAACCATCATCACTATATAATTCCAGTACATTTCCATCAACCCATCTCAGTTATATTTCCTGAAAGCTTAATTTAGTTTCTAATGATCAAAGTACATTTTGACTATATCACACTAAATAGAATTATTCTACTTTATAATAATTGATAGTATTTACTAGGTGCCAGACACTGTTTTGAGTACTTTATAAATAATAAATCCAACATGGTAAGTTTTATCAGCATCATTATCCTGTTACTGATGAAGAAACTGAGTCATGGAAAGGACAGGAATCTTGCCCAAGATCACACAGCTAGAAGTGCAGGGATGGGATTTGAACCCAAGACTCCCTCAGTCCGTGTTCCTCACCACTCCTGCGCCCTCTTGACCAGGGCATTAGGATTTAACACCAACCAACCAAAAACGAGCAAACATAACCCTTAAGCATGAAGAGCCTGTTTTCTTCCTCCCATATTTATCAGTCACCCTTGGCTATTATTGTTTCTAAACATGAAAGAACTGTCTACTGCTGGCTCTAGGCTAGGCTCTGTTGGTGACGCAAAAGTCCAAAAGGCCTGGTCTTCAGCCTCCCAAAGTGAGTAGTGTGAGACAACAGGAAGGTAGAAGGTGAAACACAAACACAGGCGTTCAGACTTGGGAGAGTCGGCCTGGTGATGGCAGAAAGCTGGGACTTAGTTACAAAAAGAATCATAAATAATGAAATAGTTCTAGGAAAACCAAAGGAATTGTTTACTCTCTTTAAGATAAAATTCAGATTCTTAACATAGGTTGAATTTGGTCACAAATGAGGCAAATGTTCTTTCACTTTGAAAGCTTTTCTATTATTCTCAGGTAGCTAAAAGCACATTGATCACTGCTTACCTTAATAATACCACCTCCCACACTTAAATGATTTATACACTGTGTTTTAGACAACAGTACACACTCTATTTGATGGAAATGGTGTATGGGTTTGATTTTGGTAACTCAAGTTTTTAAAAATGTACAGTTACTTGGGAGTTTGCTATGGGGAAAAATCTGTGGGGAAACCTTTAGCAAAGCAAGAAATCCCTTAAAATCATATAATTATGCTAAATTTCCCCCTAAGTTCTGTGTTCAGGTTTTTAGAAACCTGAATTTTAGCTACTTCCTAGTCCATTAATTCGTAAAAGAAACTGCACATCCTAAGTCTGAAGCCCGAACTCAGTCAACATCTCAGCTAGACTTTGACCCTCAGGAAACCTCGGGCACTTAGAAACTGCTGTTATCTCAGATTTGTTGCCTATTTATGAGGCTCTGGAGCATTTTTATAAGTAGAACTTCCAACACTGGGAAACCCTGAGTTTATTTAGGGCTCTGAAGAACCCTCCAGCCTGGTCTAGGGTATCCATTTATAAAACATTTTAAATGTTACCTTTTTTCTCCTACTAATCCTGTAACTTAGAAGTTCCTTTTAGAAAATAATGCACCACAGATAATTTTATTGTATTGTGACAGGACATTTTTAGTTCGTGGGTTTTTTGGGGGGAAGGTGCTTAAAAGGCACAATATACTATAGTTAATTTGGGAAGAAACTGGCAAACCTAAAGAAATTGTTTTGGTTAAGTAAACTGGGCAGCAGCTCCCTCTTGTGCTGGAAAGTAAGTACTGCAACCATTGAATTAAAATGTGGGAAAGCAGCCCTTAATGCACATGAAACTGGCTTTAATTAAGAGCTTTCCCCAAACGCCTTCAGTCTAAGAGAAGCATCGTAGTTAACTTTTAATTTTAACTGGAACATGCATTGCCATTAATACTTATTTAATTAATTCCTCAAACACTTATTGAGCACTTCCTGGGTGCCAATTGCTCACAAGGCCTGGTCCATCTAAATGCCACCTTTCTCAGAATGTTTTTCCTGGTCCCCTATCAACTGTGACCTTGCCTCCTCTGAACTGTCTCCTTTCTCCCTCCCCCAGCTCCAGAGACTGAGTCATCTCCACCTTCTTGGTTATCAGTCATTTTCTTGTCTCATTGCCCAACTAGATTGTAACTTCTGGGAAGGCAGCAGCCACATCTGATCCACTCTTAGTTTTCCCACGGCCCCTCATGCTGCGAGGTCCAGTTGGTATCCAAACGCAATTTTTTTCAATTTAATTTAATTAAACCAAAACAGAAAGCAACAGGGCTCCAGAGCTCTAGAGAAGTGTATTTCAGCAGCTTTGTACACATAACTCTCAGAAATGGAGTACGTGGCTGCTGTTGTGAAGCTGCCAGAATGCGTGTTGAATTTGTCTCATCAATTCCTGTGGTACAACAAGGCCACCCATGAAAGATAAGATTGATTTTATCTGAGATTCCATTGTGTCAGGAAGAGTTTGCTCCATCCAGTCCCTGAGGGTTGGTAAAGGGCAATGGGTTGCAGGGGTGCTTCCTGCGGGCTCCAGGTCACATGCCTGAATGTGAAGCTCGCTCTGCCCAAGCCACCTGGGCGGCCAAGGTGCTTCTAAACCAGTTCTTCACAGATCTGGGGACATATATATATATATATATAAATATATATATATATATATTTATATATATATATCCACACGAGGATATGTTTATTGATTTTAGAGAGAGGAAGGGAGAGAGAGAAACATTGTGTGAGAGAGAAACATCAATGAGTTGCCTCCTGTACGTGCCCTGACCGGGGATTGAGCCCACAACCGAGGTATGTGCCCTGATAGAACCAGCAACCTTTTGGTGCACANCCTCCTGTACGTGCCCTGACCGGGGATTGAGCCCACAACCGAGGTATGTGCCCTGACCGGTAATAGAACCAGCAACCTTTTGGTGCACGAGATGACACTTAACCAACGCCCGGCCAGGGCTCATGTTAAATATTTTTTAAAACATTTTTCAGGTACTAACATGAAGTTGCCCTTTTTTTAAAAAATTATCATTTATTATGACCTTCATTTATGAAAAAAAAAAAACACAGGACATTTTAACACCAAAAAGTAGGAAGGTCATAATCTCAGAATAAAGTATTTTTATTGAATACATTTAACTCAAGTTCTAGACCACACACTTGGATCA